CAGCAATTATAAAGAGAAACAAGCCAGAAAAGGAGGTAAGACAAGGCAGAAGGGAAGGAAAGGGGAGTTGATGGGACACACCATCTACACTGAAGAGGTGGACAAGAGGAATGATTTCCCGCAGAATGAAGCAATAGCTCCTTTTTAAAAGACTTGGGATATAGTTGCTTCACAATGTTTCATTGATTTCCGCTCTACAAAAATGTAAATCGACTATAGGTATACATATATCCTCCCCCTCTTTAGCTTCCCTCCTATCCTACCCTGCCCCATTCCACCCCTCTAGGTCATCACAGAGCACTGAATTGAGCTCCCTATGCCATGCAGCAGTTTCCCACTAGTATCTGTCTCACCCATAGCAGTGTATATATGCCAAGTCTACTCTCCCAATTCATTCACCATCCCCATCACGCCCTTTGTCCACAAGTCTGTTCTCTGCATCTCTATTCTTGCCCTGCAGATATGTTCATCTGTACCTTTGGGTCCCTGTTCTTTTAAAGCTAAGAAAGCTGTAGTGCTAGTTGAAGTTTCAGCTTCAGTCTCTAAAGGTTAACTTCTATTTCTCAGTTTCCTTTCTTCTACAAGAGAAATCACACACACACACACACACACACACACCACTTTATCTTTGGATAGAGTCAGGAACAGCATGATAGCAGTACTATCATTCATTACTATACACATTCATTTATCAGTGAATTTTCCCATCAAACATCATCATAGTGATTCATTGTAAATGGGGGCCCATAGGCACAAAGACGATTACATGTTTAAATGACGAGAAGTGCAGTTAGTTTCCATTTCCTTCTTATAGAGGAGCACCTATCATGAACAAGATACAAGCTGTCATAAAAACCTGTTACTACATAAACACCAAAGCATGTTATGGGCTGGGTAAAACAAGTAATAATGGGCATTGAAAATTCTATGCTTTAAACATGCACAGAACCTACTTAAGCTAAAACACTGTTTATAAAATATTCAAAGGAATTAGTGCAAAGGAGGACATGCAAAGGCTAAAACTGAAGAAATATCAACTTTCTTTACTGTTTCTCTGCTCCATGCACACACAAAAAATAGATGATAGACAGATAGATGATAGATTGTTGCTGTTCTTCAGTGGCTCAGTAATGTCCTGTATGATGCCATGGACTGCAGCACACCAGGCTTCCCTATTCCTCACCATCTCTCAGAGTTTGCCCAAGTTCATGTCCATTGAACTGGTGATGTCATCCAACCATCCCATCCTCTGTCATCCCTTTCTCCTCCTGCCTTCAGTCTTACTCAGCGTCAGAGTCTTTTCTAGTGATTCGGCTCTTGGCATCAGGTGGCCAAAGTACTGGTGCTTCAGCTTCAGCCTCAGTCCTTCCAGTGAATATTCAGGGTTGATTTCCTTTAGGACTGACGGGTTTGATCACCTTGTTGTCCAAGGGACTCTACATAATTTCATAGATAGATAGATACATAGATCACTAAGTGCCATAGGCTTAAAATATTTTCAGTGATACATAACATTTTATTTTAAAGACAGAGAGTAACTACTATATGCCAGGTATTGTGCCTAAGTGTTTAACATATGTCAGGTTAATGAGTCTCATATTAGCTCTACGAAAAGGATTCCTCAGGAGAATATTTTTACTTGCTAAAAAGAGAGTATTCTACTATTATTCTCAGTTTACAGACAAGAAAACTGAGTCAAAGAAAATAAACACCTGTCCAGTAAGCCTAACCTTCAACTCCAGTGTTCTGACACCAGGGGCAAACTCACAATTGTAATTCATGGTCATCTATGTAGATCCACTAAAAACATGAATTCCATTTACCAGAGAAAAATGGGAAAACCCAGGATCCAAGCTCACCAGGGGGTTTCCAGTCTGCAAAGCACTGAAGGACACTGCTGCAGTATCCTACCTCTAGTTTCCTGTCTCTAGTGCAAGGCAGTTAGTGGGCATTTTTATGCTTTGTATATTCTAACAAAAGAGCTTAGAAATTTACACTTTCACACCTTACCTGTAGTGTGTGTGTGTGTGTGTGTGTTGTTGTATGAACATAACGGGGCTCATAAAACCAAATCTGGAAGTAAAAGCTTGGAAAGCTACCATAATTTGGATCCTAATTCAGAAGCTCAGTCTTTAATATGTTACATGTATTTTCAGTTCTTAGATTACAATAGGCAAATTGACTCATGAAGACAAGCCTCTCCCAAGCTACTCTGAATTGAAAGATGACCTTCACACTTTCATTTCCTGTGGATAGGAGAGTGTGTGGTTTACTCAAGTTCATGACTGGGAGGGGCCTTAAAGGTCATCTTGTTTTGTGACTATAGCAAAAACTTGGAAGCAGAAAGGTCAGCCCCAATATCTTGCCATTTTCCTTTTGACAGTTGGAGACAGAGTAAGAATCAAAAAGAAATCATAGTTTATGACCAAAGACAGAGAAACCAGGCCACTGATAAAATGATATTTATATGCTTTCTCACATAGGCAGGAAGAAATAAATACCCAGGGTTAATCAAAAAACGAAGAAGATGTTTGCTGTACTTTCAGGCAATAAAAAAATTGGAGGGGGATTTTGTTTTGTTTTTAAAGAAAAATTTGATTGATAGGTATTATCAAGATAAGATTTGTGATTGCCCCTTTACCCAAAATAAGAAAGGAAAGACTTAAGAGTCTCTTTCTGGTTGCATCTCCTACATGAGCCATGTCTATTAATAGAAGCCCAATTTGGTGGTTTTCTGTGCAAAACAAAGTGATTTGTCTAAAATCAAACATCTGAGGGACTTCCCTGGTGACCCAGTGGTTAAGACACCCAGCTTCCACTGCAAGGGGCACAGGTTCAATGCCTGGTTTGGGAATTAAGAGAGCACGTGCCACACAGCGTGGCCAAAAAAAAAAAAGTCGAGAAAAAAATCAAACATTAAAGAATTCAAATGAAACAAAAGATTATAGTTCTTAACATATTTTATCAGGAGAGAATCCACAGAATGCGCTTTATAATGACTTAATTAACAGGATTAAGCATCATGGTGTGGGAGATTTCCAGTGAAAGCTGTTAATTTGGGGAAGTCAAACGAGCTGAGTTCAAATACAAGCTGTTTAACTTATGAATCATATTTCTTGGGCAAGTTATCTAATAAATACCTCTAATAGTAAGCTTCCCCGGCTATACAATGGGCATAGTAACTCCTTTCTAAGGCTGTTGTGCGGTTCATGTGTCAGAGCGCATGTAAACTCCTTGGCGCTCCTTCCCTCTCTCTCTCTCTGCCTTCCATCTTAGTGAACTTTCTGAAACCAGAAAAGTCCTGCGCAAAAACACTTTCTTCCGTTCAGATAAATTTCTGAACAAAACTTGCAAAACCCCAATACAGCACTGTCTAACACAGCGACACTATAAAATATTCATTCTATCTTAGTAGCAATACATAAATTCCACATCACATAATGGCACAAAAATTATATCCCATTTGTGACACCCTTGCCGTTACATTTTTTGAAGTATAATTCTTGGGAAACATTTCTGAGTTTTTCTTTGTGTGGTGTGACACCCTCTCAATTCACTGAAGCCACAACTTACCATGTGAAAGAAAATTAACATGCCTGACCTGGATTTTCTTTTTTTTTTTTAGTACCATAGAAAAGTAGAAATGAAATTCAAATCCTATAAACACTTAGGTGTAAAAGAAACAAGAACGAATATGCAAACAGCTAGTTTTTTAGAGGTGTGAGCCTGGTAAGCCAGTAATTTACACCTAGGATCTAAATTTGTTAAGTCTGATTCTCAAATCAAGTAGAAGAATTAAAAATGCTACTTGTTTCAAATGCATCACCTTTTTATGGAACAAAGTAGGGTGTCAATTTTCAGAAAAGCGTGTTGCCCTTTGGTACAGAAGGACCACACAAGACATTCTGTACTCTGCACACAAGGGCCACCACTTCCTTCCTGTCAGGAACACGCACATCCTCTAGAAATCAGCTGGTGGCCTATGATCATTTGGCTTTCAACTCTGTGCATTTTGTGAGTTAGTGGTCAAGGAATAGTGCTTGCACTGCCATAAACTTTACCAAAGGCTTTGGGTTTTTAGAGAGCATTTTAGGAGCAGTCTCTTCAAAAACAACACTACTTTGTAGAAATCCCTATACAAGCAGAAATTTGTCACTCAAAGATCTTCTCTTGGCTGGAAAAAATGATGGCAAATTATGTCTTATTACGCTATTTATATATTGTGCATGTGAACAGATATAGCATAATTATAATAGACACATCTATGCACATATATGCCATCTGCATATGCATAACTTTTTATAATCATAATTCCATTTTCTTTTCATATTATGCCATCGTCTTTGCTGTGCAGTTCAATATCATATTATTTTCATTTCAACCACAGCTGCATCATTGCTGCTGCCAGATCTCTGTTTATTTTATTCATTTATTTACTTTTATTTTTTTTTTTGGAGAAAATATACAATTTTAAATTGTTTTTTTTTTCTTTTTTTTTTTATCAGAAAGGAAAGTCATCAAGAATTAGATTTTATTTTAGGAACAAAGTAAGGTTTCATGGGAGAAAAAAACAAAGCCTTGGTGTAGAGAAGGTTTGTTCATTTTCTATAGCATTACTGAAGTGTCCGTATGCCTTGATAATCCTATCAATGTTTGGATCATCTCACTGGGGGAAATGAATTAATTTAACTCTATTTTGGTGTCTCCGCAAAGGTAAGTTTTCTATTTTGAGAGCCTACCTGGGTAGTTTTCTGTTACTTCATTTGTGAATGAAATCCCAAAGTTTGCCCAGCTGACTTGCCAAATCTGTTTCCCCCAGTAGTAAAGGTGGGTGGCCAGTGGGTGGAGGAGGAGGTGTGGGAAATGGCTGGGGATTCACCCTGTAGCAGAGTTACCTTCAACCAATATCTCATAATCCTAAAAGCCTAGACAGGAAACAGATCAATGAAGGCTGGAGACAAGTGAATCAAACTGATGCTCTATTATTTCATGTCCTCCAGTGTCTCTCTTTCAATGCCATCATGGAAGAACTGGGAATCTCACTCAAAAATCAGAAAAAGTTAAAGAAAAAGTCAAGAACTAAGGGGAAATCATCCTTCACAAGTATCCTTACTTGTCATCAAAGACGAACTCAGAGAAAAGAGACGATGGCGTGAGCCGGGAACACACCTGGAGTGAGCGTTCAGGAAGAAAAGCACGCTCCCAGCAGGTTTTTGGAGAAAGGATTTCTAACAATGGTGCAATGTTTTCCATACGTCTATATGCATAACTCGGATTACGGATGCAGATACAAGAAATACAAAAGTTTAAAAAGCTCAGAGAGACTGAGATTACTTGGGAAGTGGCACGGATTCTTTTGAAATGAATTTGTATGCTCACTTATTTTACCTTTTCTCTTTCATCCCAATAAACTGCTGTGTGTGCTTTCTAAATAATAATAAAACAACAGGGTTTTTTTCCAGAATGAGTTTGAGTGTTGGTTTGTTTTCCATCACTTGCTCTGATTCACAGTGTTTGGTTTCCAAGTGTTATCAGCTGTCAAGTTTGCTATTTTGATGAATCTTCTTATCTGTTCAGCCTGAAAAAGCCATTTCTGGCCGTGTTAAAAAAAAAAATCTTTTTAGTTTGTACCAAGTACCTTGTTTTTCTAGTAGAGTAAAGCCATTCATCTTTGTGTTTTATTGTCTAATTTTATAAGTAGTTTGAATGGTACTTGGATCAGTGACTATAACATAAAAGGATACTAAAAAGGAAAAATTCATTTAAAAAATAAAAGGGTCCACCACATTCAAGGCACCCTTCTAGGTTCTGGAGATAGCATGGTGAGGAAAACAGATATGGTCCCTGCCCTCACACAGTTTATAATAAAATGAAAAAGAAAAGCATTCCAAAAAGCAACCCAAAGCTGGATTGCACCCTTCTAGGTTCTGGGGATACCATGTTGAGGAAAACAGATATGGTCCCTGCCCTCACACAGTTTATAATAAAATGAAAAAGAAAAGCATTCCAAAAAGCAACCCAAGCTGGATTGCACTTCCTCAATGGAGGTCAGAAGCTACGGGAACACACAGGAGCATTTAACCTGGGATGGGACAAGGAGGTCTTCCTTGAGGAAGGCACAGTAAGTCCTCTACATGTGAATGTGCTCCCTTCCGAGAGTCTATTTGTTAGTCCAGTTTTGCTCATATGGTCAACAAAGGAAGCCTAGGAACGGAACTAACGCAATCAGCTATAAAGTACTGTGCTGCAGTAGGTTTGTAACACCTTTCACACAAATAATACATAAAAAGGCAAACACAAAAAATAAAGAAAGCATTTCAATCTTACAGTGCAGTACCTTGTAAAGCACAGTAGTACAGTACAACAGCTGATATACAAGGGCTGGCATCGAGTGAACAGACAAGAAAAGTTACCAACTGGAGGAGGGAGAGGACACGGGGAAGATGGCAGAGCCAGAGGGTCATTAGCAGTGTGCAATGTCACTCACACCTGATGATGGAATGCACATTTGCATCTTTGAAAGTTCGCAACTGGAAGGTCTGTATGGAGGGCATTTACTGTATAGCTAAAATCTGAAAAAGGGCATTTTAATCTGTTCCAGGGAGAAACATCAGATAGAGAAGGCAAGTGTTTCAGCTGAAAAAAACAGTGTATTCTAAGGCACTGCCATAAGAAAATATAGGGCCAGTATGACCAAAAATAAATAAATTAAAAAAAGGAGTCTAATGGCTAAAATGCAAAGAGTGCAATGGGGCCCAGAGGTAATAGCCACTCTGGTTGAGGTTAGAGAAAGAATTGAAGGAAAGAAGACTAAGAGAGGAAAAGAGAGAGAGAGGGTCCCTTGATCAGCAGCCCAGAGGAAGGATACTGTAGCTTGGGCTAAAGGAATGCCAATAGGAAATCAACCCTGACTACTCATTGGAAGGACTGGTGCTGAAGCTGAAGCTCCAATACTTTGGCCACCTGTTTTGAAGAATTGAGATGATTCGTTGGAAGAGACCCTGATGCTGGGAGAGACTGAGGGCAAGGGAGAAGGGGACGACAGAGGATGAGATGGTTAAATGGCATCACTGACTCAACGGATGTGAATTTGAGATCTGAGCAAACTCTGGGAGATGGTGAAGGACAGGGAGGCCTGGCATGCTGCAGTCCATGGAGTCACAAAGAGTCAGACATGACTTAGTGACTGAACAGCAACAGAGGAAGGCCAGAAAGCTCACTGCATGACAGAGGTAACTTAGAGGCACAATTCACACAGCCAGAGTTCAGAGAGTGGTCTTGAGGGAAGGAAAAGGAAGTTCAAGAAAACATCAGGATTCAGGAGCAGAGGAGTGGGTGTGGAGGAAGGAATGTTTAGCTGGGGAGTCGAGATATTAGGAAACAGCAACAGGAAAGGAGGAAGCACTGGATCAATATTTCACATAATTAAATCCCATTGGTTTCTGTAGGATTATTTTACAACTAAAAGAAACTTTTAATCTAGTCCCTGTAGAATTTGAGTACAGAAATAGTTCCAGACGTGAAGAGGGAAAAAAATGACCTTTTAAAATAGCAGTAACAGATACTGGACATATATTTTTCTGTGCTTGTAATCAACACTCAGATTTGGAATCAATCAGAATTTTATTAACAACAAAAAGAACACAATGTAGTTCATAAAAAATGCATTAAGATTCTTATATTTGAGACTCACAAATGATGAATCCAACTGACTGGCAATGAATTAGAATGATGTGAAAATATTACAGGGGAAATACATAGTTTATTCAATTGACTAAATCTTATACTAAGGGAATTCTAGTTTAATTTTCTAATGTAACAGAATAATATTTTTCTCTCATTTCAGGAAATATTACAGTGCTGTATCTTTTTATATACAGTTACAGTAATTTATGGGAAAAGAAATATAGCAACTTCTAATATGTAAAATATATTGTGCGTCAATATGGTTTACAAATATTTTAAGGCTCAAAATCACTTATTGATCACTGAATGTTTATTCAAGGCACATAATATATTGAACTAGGCAGAAATGCAGAACAGAGCTTTTTTGGTCAACTAGTAAATGTAATATATAATCACCTTCTTTTTCTCCCAATGTTTTCATTCTGAAATTTCATTTGATGTGCACACATAGGCATATGTTTCCATATGTGTCTCTGTGTGTCGGGGCAAAGAAAAAAGTAAGCTAATGAGTTCAGAGGAGAGAAAAAAGAAATTGCAGAATATCTGGAAGCTGGTCCAGAAAAAAAAATCCCTGAGATCAACTATTAATTTTTGAGATTTTCATCCCTTTCTGTAAAAAGCAGTGACTCATACACAGTTATGTAGAAATCAATGGCAAAGTTAATTAAAGACTGGATCCAACATTTTTCCTTCAGCAATTTCTTGATGTTAATAGGAAAAGATGGCTCAGGTGAAATATTCAGGAAGAAAGAGGGAAGTCAGTGTTGATTGAAAGATGATGTTAACAGATAAGATTTATTTTCCTTTCAAGTTTCAAATCTAGGCCTTTCTTGCCTTTAGCATGGAGAAAAGGGAACAGAGGCCATCCATTACTTGATTGACCCCATGGGGTTGCTGATACATGAGATTTCCATTCTTAGCTTAAAAGATGCTAGAGAGAGAGATAGAAATAAGAAGAAAGTGGGTTCAAGAAAACTAGATGGAGATAAAATGCGCATGACCAACACTTTTACTGTCTCTCGGCAGTTACAACTTTAATTCAACTCTTTTTTTGTTTGTTTTTGGCTATGCTGGGTCTCTATTGCTTTTTTGTGTGGCCCTCTCTAGTTGTGGGGAGCGGAGACTACTTTGTTGCAGTGTGTGGGCCTCTTATTGTGGTGGCTCTGTGTGCAGCACAGCACGTGGAATCTTCCTGGACCAGGGATCGATCTCCCGTCCCCTGCATTGGCAGGTGGAGTTCCATCCACTGCGCCACCAGGGAAGTCCCTAATTGAGCTCTTTACTTGACCTCAGTTCAGTTCAGTTCAGTCGCTCAGTCATGTCCGACTCTGTGCGACCCCACGGACTGCAGCACGCCAGCCTTCTCTGTCCATAAGGCTAAATAATTTCTTAATTAGGAAACTCCTGTGATGTGTTTTAAAAGGAAATAAAGTTGAGTGTCTCTTCTGAGAAAGGTATCCCTAAGAAATATCTTCTGCAGTGTGATTTTTAAAGAAACACAAAGTCTATCAGTTCCGAAATGTATAACCCACCAGAGTCTCTCCATCATCAGAGACCCAATGCATCAAGTAACAAACTGGCTTAAGTTACAATCCACTTGCTCAAGTCATTTATGAGTTGGATCCTCCAGCTGAAAATAAGGAGAGGACAGATGTTCACTGATCAAGTATGGTCACAGGAGTGTCAGAAGTGCACAGGGTGAGGCGAGTAAGCCATTCCACGTGAAGTAATGGAGTGCTTAGGGACGTTGTCTATTGGGGTGCAGAAGAGTTTATCAAAGGCACAACCAGTTCTCTGGTTTGTCCATGTCTAGTCCTGCATATGAAGGGAAACTTTTTTCAAGTCACATTTCTTTAAAAAATGACCATCGAGCGGAAAGAAGCAGGACAAAATAAGAATGGTAAATTCTCCAGAGTGGAGACATACATACTACATTTACAAGTAATAACTCAAAGTCCCATAAGCCTTGGAACTGAAATGACCAACATTAAATAAACCATCTTGGCATGTTGACGTTTATAAATCCAGAAACAGACTGGCTTTATAGGTGAGTGTCCTCACAGGAAGTCACAGGGGCTCCAGAGGGACTTGCTTTTAAGCTTTGCCCACAAGATAGCCAATTAGAGAAATTACTCCAAAATCACTGCAGGTGGTGACGGAGGCCATGAAATTAAAAGATGCTTGCTCCTTGAAAGAAAAGCTATGACCAACCTAGACAGCATATTAAAAAGCAGAGACATTACTTTGCCGACAAAGGTCCGTCTAGTCAAAGCTGTGGTTTTTCCAGTGGTCATGGATGGATGTGCTGCTGCTGCTGCTAAGTTGCTTCAGCTGTGTCTGACTCTTTGTGACCCCACAGACAGCAGCCCACCAGGCCCCTCCATCCCTGGGATTCTCCAGGCAAGAACACTGGAGTGGGTTGCCATTTCTTTCTCCAATGCATGAAAATGAAAAGTGAAAGTGAAGTCAC